CACGCCGGCGCGCGCCCAGCACCTGGCCGACCGCTTCGCCGGCGTGCGGGGCCTGCCGTCCACGCCCGACGAGCTCGCTGCGCTGGCCGGTCGCGTCGACGTCGTCATCAGCACCGTACCGCCCACCGCCGGCTTCACCCTCCCCGACGCCTTCTTCCGCCGGCCCAGCGGCGCCGACGCCGCCAGCGCCGCGGCGGGCCTGGTCGTGGTCGAGCTGGTCTACTGGCCGCGCTTCACGCCTCTGCTCGAGCAGGTGCGACAGTGTGCCAAGAATGACGAGAATGTGGTGCGGGTGGAGGTGGTGGAGGGCATCGAAATCCTGCTAGCGCAGGGTCTGGCCCAGTTCGAGATCTGGACCGGGCGGGAGGCGCCCCGGGCCGCCATCATCGAGAAGATCGTGGCCACCTTCAAGGACGGCCTCTACGCCTCGCCTCTCCCCACCTCCTTTCAGTAAGTGTTTCAGACATGCAAACAAAATTTCAAATGTTTCGCTGGTCTCCTCTTGCTCCTGCATGCAGCAAGTGCAAGGATCATTATTACAGGTTGCTTTGCACCTGCACACCTGTTGCACACCTGTGCACCTTCTTGCACCTTCACACCACCTTTCTGCACCTCCTCCACACCCCCACACCTCTGCTCTCTGATGCGTAACAGAGTGTTACCATAATGCTGACGTCACTTGACATATACAATATTGGACAACCATGGAGAACTCTTGGGTTATGATGGAACCACTCTATAGAGTATATTACAAAGGCCGGCTCCTGCTATTGGCCCAGGTAGGAGCGGAACACGTCGTCGGGGTCGAGCTGGCCCTCTCCCACGACGTCCATTCCGTCATCGTCAAAGTCTGCCCAGCACGCGGAGTCGTCCACAGTCTCCGAGCTCAGCAGATTGTCGAGCATCAGCGACGTCGGCGAATCGAACGAGATCAGCCCCTCTGCCGCGGCGTGCGAGTAGGGCTGCGTCGCGTGCGCCGTCGACGGCAGAACCTGACTCGGG